TAAATAGTGCTCGTGATGATGGCAATGTTATCAATCAATCCCTTGACATACATCGGGAAAGTCGAAAACTTGGCCAACCGGATAAAGACGTAACTATTCGACATTATCCGGTTGGCCAAGTTTTCGACTTTCCCGATGTATGTCAAGGGATTGATTGATAACATTGCCATCATCACGAGCACTATTTAATTGATTGGATTTTCGAGCCAATATACTAGCAGTCCTGTCATTCGAATATTCTCCTCCTGTATCTGACTTACCAAAATCATTGGACCGTTCATTCGAAACTCCCTCAATGTCATTTAAAAGTTGATTAGCCCAAATACAATAGTCAGTGTAATCAAGATCACCTTCAAAAAGTGTTGTATTTGACGACGATGGCGATGACGGCGGAACTGACTCTTGTAATGGAGAGGAATGTCGAATAGTTACGTCTTTCCTCTCCATTACAAGAGTCAGTTCCGCCGTCATCGCCATCGTCGTCAAATACAACACTTTTTGAAGGTGATCTTGATTACACTGACTATTGTATTTGGGCTAATCAACTTTTAAATGACATTGAGGGAGTTTCGAATGAACGGTCCAATGATTTTGGTAAGTCAGATACAGGAGGAGAATATTCGAATGACAGGACTGCTAGTATATTGGCTCGAAAATCCAATCAATTAAATAGTGCTCGTGATGATGGCAATGTTATCAATCAATCCCTTGACATACATCGGGAAAGTCGAAAACTTGGCCAACCGGATAAAGACGTAACTATTCGACATTATCCGGTTGGCCAAGTTTTCGACTTTCCCGATGTATGTCAAGGGATTGATTGATAACATTGCCATCATCACGAGCACTATTTAATTGATTGGATTTTCGAGCCAATATACTAGCAGTCCTGTCATTCGAATATTCTCCTCCTGTATCTGACTTACCAAAATCATTGGACCGTTCATTCGAAACTCCCTCAATGTCATTTAAAAGTTGATTAGCCCAAATACAATAGTCAGTGTAATCAAGATCACCTTCAAAAAGTGTTGTATTTGACGACGATGGCGATGACGGCGGAACTGACTCTTGTAATGGAGAGGAAAGACGTAACTATTCGACATTCCTCTCCATTACAAGAGTCAGTTCCGCCGTCATCGCCATCGTCGTCAAATACAACACTTTTTGAAGGTGATCTTGATTACACTGACTATTGTATTTGGGCTAATCAACTTTTAAATGACATTGAGGGAGTTTCGAATGAACGGTCCAATGATTTTGGTAAGTCAGATACAGGAGGAGAATATTCGAATGACAGGACTGCTAGTATATTGGCTCGAAAATCCAATCAATTAAATAGTGCTCGTGATGATGGCAATGTTATCAATCAATCCCTTGACATACATCGGGAAAGTCGAAAACTTGGCCAACCGGATAATGTCGAATAGTTACGTCTTTATCCGGTTGGCCAAGTTTTCGACTTTCCCGATGTATGTCAAGGGATTGATTGATAACATTGCCATCATCACGAGCACTATTTAATTGATTGGATTTTCGAGCCAATATACTAGCAGTCCTGTCATTCGAATATTCTCCTCCTGTATCTGACTTACCAAAATCATTGGACCGTTCATTCGAAACTCCCTCAATGTCATTTAAAAGTTGATTAGCCCAAATACAATAGTCAGTGTAATCAAGATCACCTTCAAAAAGTGTTGTATTTGACGACGATGGCGATGACGGCGGAACTGACTCTTGTAATGGAGAGGAATGTCGAATAGTTACGTCTTTCCTCTCCATTACAAGAGTCAGTTCCGCCGTCATCGCCATCGTCGTCAAATACAACACTTTTTGAAGGTGATCTTGATTACACTGACTATTGTATTTGGGCTAATCAACTTTTAAATGACATTGAGGGAGTTTCGAATGAACGGTCCAATGATTTTGGTAAGTCAGATACAGGAGGAGAATATTCGAATGACAGGACTGCTAGTATATTGGCTCGAAAATCCAATCAATTAAATAGTGCTCGTGATGATGGCAATGTTATCAATCAATCCCTTGACATACATCGGGAAAGTCGAAAACTTGGCCAACCGGATAAAGACGTAACTATTCGACATTATCCGGTTGGCCAAGTTTTCGACTTTCCCGATGTATGTCAAGGGATTGATTGATAACATTGCCATCATCACGAGCACTATTTAATTGATTGGATTTTCGAGCCAATATACTAGCAGTCCTGTCATTCGAATATTCTCCTCCTGTATCTGACTTACCAAAATCATCGTCTCTCGGTGTTTCGCTATGGCTCGTACAAAGGAGACTGCTCGCAAATCAACTGGATGAAAGGCCCCAAGAAAGTAGCTGGCCACCAAGGCTGACCGTAAGAGTGCAGGAGCTACTGGTGGTGTTAAGAAAGCACACAGATACTGGCCTGTAACCGTCGACATCTTCGCTACCGCCACCAGCTACGACCTACTTCGAAGTGCCCACTGATGGAGGTAGTGCATACCCTATACCGGCGCCAGGCACTGAGGACAGTGCCTCCAGAGGGGAGGGAGCGATGTAATGATATAAAAACTAACATGACATCACTAAATGAGTCTCCTGTTTCCTCTTTTTCAGATAAGAACGCTGGCCTGGCCGTGCTGGAACAGGTGGAGGACTGTTTGTCTAACCTTGTTATAAATGAGAATGATTAGCTTGTACCCGGGCAATTCGAACCCGGCGTGCTGGAAATATAGACCTTCCTCTCGCATCTTCCTCTTCTTCCTTCGCTGATTTTGTCTGTTGCTTCTGGGTGTTACAGGAGAGAGGGTATACGCTATAACCAGGTGTTATCGCGCAGCGACATCGGTTACCGCGTTCACGGCTACAGGCGCTATAATCGCCTATTAATTGGGAAATAGATCATATTTGACTAGTTTTAGACTTCTGGAGCCACACGGCATTATTTTGTTCATAGTAAAGCGTAAAATTTTATATTATATGTCTGACGGATTATCAATGAAGAAGTCATCCTTTTGAAGAAAGTTCGCATAGAAAGAGTATTATTTGCATTATAGTGCGTTGAGGGTTTGTTTTTCGCAAGTTGTTTCAAATCTTAAGGTTGTAAATATACTACAAGCAATGGCAGAGTACTTAATGTCAGAGTACTTAAAATGAGTATCAGCTATCTGTTGATTAGTAGCTAGCAGGTGTGTCATACAACTACTACACCTGTTACATAGATTATATCAATCTTAATAATTATTTTGTTTCAAATCACTAAGATATTCTGAGATCCTTAATGACTTAATTGTGGCTATGAAAGATGCACTTATAGCCCTTATATTTCAAGCAGTTATTACTAAACAAGTTATCTGTAAGCATTTTGTGATGTTCTGGTTACAATGCTTGAGTGTATGGGGTTACTGCCTGCTTCTGTGAGTTAAGGGATATTTGGTGAAAATCATGATACAATGAAGGTTCCTATAGAGTCACTATGAATACTGCAAACTGTTGATAAGAAACTGCCTCAAAGGAAAAAATGCCGAACAGCTAGAAAATACTACCTCAGTTTCGATGATTATTACCTTTTGCATTTGTGAATCATCCTTCCAAAGCTCAGATTGACGGCAAACCATCCATGGTACCCCACAGGCCCTACAGAAATTTGTGAGAGATCTTACATGTCAGGTTATCTTAGAAAATTGTAAGGTTGCAGATATTTCAACTTACCTGTCACTGAAATATCCCTTATCTACTTCACGATGGTCTTTTCATTTGTGCACTATTACACTACATTTTATCTTAACTGGATATGCCTTTATTAAAGCCGAGACTTACTCTTTGTTCCTATTAGTTGCTTGCTTACAGTCTAGTTGCTTTTATTAGAAACACAACAGCACCAGTGCTTGAACAAAGCTGTATTTTCATGGAAAACGTCATATTTTCTATGCTTACACCGATATGGTTGGCATTACACATTGCAAATGTATACTAACATTCCAAGGACATAGCACTTAGCCAAATGTACAGTGTTCATTGTGAAGGGTTTACAATTTAACTCTTATCATAACCTGTTCTAATTATTATTATTTGCTTGCTGCTATCCTTTAGAAGACGAACAATATGTGTGACAGTAAAAACCACAGAAGAATGCTGTCATGAACGAAGAATGAGAAAGGAGAATGAACCATTTTCAGCAAAGGTAGGCAAATATAAAGCGTTTAACTTTAATATTACTTCTTTCTTACTTCAGCAATTTAAAAAACACTTTGTTTACTTATTTGCAGATATCCGGTAACGTCAGTCAACCCGGTCACAGAGATTCAACATTGCCCCAATTATTACGACAAACAACTGCGTAAAGACATTTGCTTGTTATTATTTTTCATTAAATACATTTAATATCTTGCTTACCAGACCGTTTTTATTGTATCTGAGTGTAGATATATTTGTCATGCTGACTAGATACAGACATGACTTATTAATAAGAACTGACGAAGTAATTGGTTGCATATTTTAGTGTAAGCTAAATCTAAATACGATTGCTAAAGCTAAACGAATTCAATAATTTGTCTGGTGTAGACTTTAATTTACGCTACATGTTAACAGCCTTAGTCATATGGAATGACATCACGCTTTAAGTAAAACATTAGTAATGCAATACTTTAGAATACACGTAACCGTATAAGAACTGGAACTCGAATGCAGTGCCTAAGTTATGCCTACTATTGTCATTTGGCCCTAAAGACTTCTATATGACTATGACGACCGACATCGTTCCTACGCAATTACACTTACGTATAGTTAAAGTCCTAGAGAGCACCGGTCTAGCATGCCGTGCTCAATAAGGGAACACATGAATCGAAAGACAACAAGATTGACATGAAAATTGTATTTTAATTATGATACAAATTCAGTTTATTTACATATTCAGAGTACGATTGATTCCTGCGATTACTTCTACAGCATAATTCCTGGCAAACACTTCTCCAAATTTGTCATTAATTTTCCTCAAGCCCTTAGTCACAATACTTATATAGGTTTCGAATGGGCCACTTCGATTTCGAGGGACAACAGCTGACGTGCATTGAGATGCGAACAAGTTGCGTGACCACGCCCATTGTTTGCAATTCTGCATCACATGGTTAACTACAAAAGGTGAAACAAAAAACGTAAAGATAACTATGAACTGAATATTACACGTGCAATGATGGTAGTGCTTGTGTCTTGTTTCCAATTAAGGCAATGTACACACGAATAGGTTAATAAAAATTACAACTTTCCGTATATAAGAACATTAATTAATTAAATTTCGGTCGACATAAATTAAAAACGGAGTCATAAAAACGCAAATATACCTGTGAAATACGGCTTTCTGAAGTGGACCAAAAGCAAGTGTCGGCAGGGGTACCGACAGGTCTGAAATGTAAAGCACGTGCAGGTGCAAGCACTCAGATCAACCTCCACTGTATTCCCATTTTCTTTGAAGAATACATAATCAAAGGATTCAAACTCAACAATAGCCCATCGTCGCCATTGGTATTCACGTATTACCTTCCTCGCGGCGTATGGCGTCAGCAATCGTATAATTGGGATTAGACGTTGTGAACAGGGATACGTGAAGCATCGTGACTGAGCAATATTCGCCTCCTGCTGTATTCTTGAAAAACTTCGTTTATACCATTTATACACCTTTAGCATACTTTTATGCAGACTATCAGATCTTTGCAAGTACCGTTTCATTTGCTTGTGGGAACTCTCGACGCGATTATTTGTATCATTCCCAAAAGTCAGCACGTTGTCTCTGAAACATGCTGCCCACAATTCTCGTCGATGCATCCAACGACGTTGTAGATATTGACTGACAGTAGCATCCAATCTGCTAATAACTCTGAAGTAGAAATTAAATCTGCAAAATGAGAACATTAGAGGCATTACTCTGATCTCCTTTTACACTGCACTAGACGGCATAAATAATTCTTCACAATGGGATTTCTTGTCTACGAATAAAATGTAAAGTATGCTTTGAAAAACTTACTTTACGACAGAAAGCTCGGCAAACATGGAAAGAACACAAAACAATGTGCGCTTGTCTGTGCGTTAACTTGACGGCTGCTATTTCAGCTTGCGCACAATCCATAATGAAGGATTCTGTTTTGAAGGTGTCTTCCATTATTTGCCGGAAACAGTCTAATATCCAAACTACATCTCGTTTGAATTCTTTTCTAGTCCACGCAAATAAAACTGGTCGTCCACGACCAAAATTATCCGTCACAAGTAATTGGAACAAAGAATACCTGCACGTTGATTAATGAATTGGTAAACTTACTTCCCTTATTTGTATTATACGTCGAGTCGATACCAACAACTTCAGGGAACTGTTTATACAATTCCATTTGCTCATAAGTTGCAAAACAAATTCTTGTTAGTGAATTCCTGATCGGTTCATCGGAATAATACTCCATTAACTTCCCACGGGATTTTAGGAATTCAAAAATGTCACGACGACTCGAAATACCTTAAGTATGTAACAAGTACGTCAACGTTACCTTTATTCACTGCGGCTTTCATATTTTTAACGTCAATGCGAGTTATATCCTTGTGGTACTTCTCCTTAACATGCATTATTATTTCATCGGATGAGTGGGATTGCTGAAGAAGTGGTTCAATATTTTCTTTCTCTTCAACTGTTAGTCGTCTATACCATGGGTCATTCTGCATGTACACCCTGCTGCATGGATGGTTATGCACCATATTGTGGGAAGCAATTATGTATTCACTATAATGCAAAACCACGCGAAATGAAGACGAGCAATTGCAACATTTAGACCTGAAATATTCATGAAATCATATACACTTCTTCTTACGACTTGTTTTTCAATTTCAATCCAGGTCTTGTACGATTCACTCCAAAAGTGCATTTAAAACCAACATAAGCGTACTTAAACCTGTCATCCGGTATCGTTTTGCTGCAATTATGAACATAGTGAGTGCAGGATAACTACACTGTTAGCATTAAATGACTTCCTCACTTTTTGAAATTCTGCTAATGACTTCTCAAATTCATCCCAGCTGAAGAAACGCCTTCCAAGTATGTATTCAGCAAAAATTCCACTTAAATCTGTGCTCCTGTCACTCGAATTGACTACCTGCAACGGACTAAAATAAAATTATCAATTAGGATCCATCTATGTCACAACTATTCCAAGATAAATCGTAAAAAAACAACATTGAAATACAGGGATGATCGATAACCATCAAGAAAATACCGCACGTATAACCTAAATTACAGAAAAACACAAGAACCCACCGGTTCGTTGACATCGCAAGCAACCGATAGACCAAACAACGAATTGTACGACAAATAAAGCCTAGTACATGCACAAACAAAGAAAAACAAAGCGTTACAATAGTCTAATTCACGTTTATAGTAATCACATATGCTGGCAAACGACGCAAACACAACCACGCAAAGACAGCACCCGACAGCACGCACCCAAGGACAATTCAAACTCCAATTGACCGCCACCATTCTAGCCAATGAAAGACGAAAAAAACTGAGCCGCGGAAAATATAACACGAACCCACGTATATCCTCACCCCTTTAGTGTCACACTTGTACCGAGATTGCTATTATTAATACATCTGCGTTCTGCTTCTCAATTATAGTTTTCTGCAGTGCGCTTGACACCTAATTGCCTGTATTGTCTATTACAAAGGAGAACGAAAATTACAGTACTACTTGTCTTATTTTGACAATGAGTGGAAATACTAAAGTGCGATAATATTGGTGTATTTGATTGTGAGTCACAACCGATCAGATATATATCTGATCGATTCACTCATATATTTATGATGGAATAACTAATAAACAGAGGTCAACCTAAGGTTTTATAGACATGTGTGGAATGGATGATAAGAAATTCGCAAAAGCATTTTTATCCTTCTCTGTTCCATGTTCAGTTTTCATTTTATTATATTTCACATCACGTTATCACGTTATATTCTAACATTTTATTTAGTCTACTATTTTGACATTTCACTCATCTTATATCTGCATGATATTATATTCACATGTTTGCTTTTCTGATAGTGCTTCATTTCTCTATCATCCATTTCACACATGTCCATTGAGCTTTAGGTTGTCCACTACTTATTTAGTTATTCATATATATATATATATATATATATAATCAATAGAGACTCAGCCATATATACCAATATTATCTCATTTTAGTATTCCCACTCTGTCAAACTTTAAACACACAAGTAAACTGATTGTTAACTTATTTTCCTAAACAAATAATTTACTGTAATGGGAGAATATTTTCGACCATGTTTTAATGACACAACCTGTGATAAATATTATCTACAACAACTATTATCTATTGTGGTACAAATTTATGTACATATTTGATATTTTCGATTTCTGCTGGTGGTATAATTTATATTTCATAAGTGCGGTTTATTCTCTTGCATATTTAATTCTACCATTCGGCTTATACAGGCTTTTTTCTCAATGGTTTGGGTTGACTACTTGTGTTCGATAGATTCAGTAATGTTCCAGATAATTTAGTGGGTGGTGTCTAATACTGGAATCCAGGGCGCTCACTTTGTCCTATTTGGGATTCACCAGCTTGGTGTAATTGCATCCACAGTGGTTGGTGGTGTTTCCACTGAGGCTGGAACCGTGCTCATCCTTTCAAACTCCGAGGATTTATCCACTAGACCAGCCAACGAGCGTCAGTTATTGTTTTTTTTATAAGATAGAAGGAAAAACAAATAACGTTCTAGGTAGTTAGGGTAAATCTGAGGGATAAAATTCATGAAAGTCAGCTGATGTTCTGTGATTTATTCAGAAAAGTAATCAGTTAGCAGTATACACACACACAATCCTATCATGAATTGGACCGAAAGTTACCTTAAGGTGACATATTCCTAAAGAGTCACAAGCTGGGGCGAAACAACTATCCAGTAGTCTCTAGTTTTCAGTAGTTCCCTAAATGACTTCTGCTTTTAATAAAATATACACTGAAATTAACATTAACTTTGAGCTATAAAATGCACTTTTACAAACAAGCTACTCTTTGATTTAATAAGCCATATATTGGTGTTTATTATTTTCTTTCTTTACTACTATTTGGAGAGTCCTGTTGACACACTTTGATAGTTGGCTGTCCATAAGACACAAGCCGAACCTGATAATATCTCTTGCGACTGGGATCCAAAGAATCTGTAGTTCTTAGTCAGTTGGTGAAGAGATCAATCTTTTAAGGCAGACACTACTCGAGAATGGATGCTTACCATGCGTTATAGATAAACACATAAAACCCAAATCCATCAGAGAACTTGTTGTGGTGCTCTCTTTGACCAAACTGGCGTACACGTATATTCTAGTACTTCTTCGCTTTTGTTACTGTGTCCTGACGTTGTGATTACTCGACATTCACAACGTAAATCAAAAGGCATTTGAGAAGGAGTACGAACGTGTATTACCCCAGTAACCGAAAATTCAAAAGTTGAGCGATTACAAGTGTATCAATTGTTAACACGCAATCTTTAGAGTGATAAACAAATCAAAGTCTAATTACATAGTGAAAGTATATCACGATGATGAATAATAAAATGGGTCACTAAATTTTCACCAGCACCTTGATTAAGATACTGGAAAGAATTGTCATGAAAGCTATCATTGCATAAAAAATGGCATAAAATGGGTCACTACAATCCCTCCATCTTTGTGCCAAAGAGGATGGTACATATAAATGTGAAGTTCAATAAAACAGCCTTCTAGCTTAAACTTTAAAAAAGAGAATATCAAACGGGCAATAAAATAACACTCTTTGCAGCTACATTAAGGTTGCTACTCTCCAGACATTCAATATTCTCCAATGAGCTTAAAGATAAACTATCCTATTTGACCATTTCTATGTGTATCTACCAACTGAGTCACTCCTATGAAACGAGATATACAGGTTGTTCAATGAGTGTTCTATCCAAAAAGGAGTTAAAGAGCACTGTTCCACTCAGCCACAGAAAGATTACAATGGATCAATAAGAAGTGTTTTAATTAAAAATACATTCACAATGGTCACTCAATATGTAAGGGAAAATTCATTCAAATTTATTTTCAAATGCGACTGACGTTTCTTCAGCAAATCTTTTGCTCACACTCTTCAGAGATTGCGTAATTAATTTTGATATTTTGTCTGCATGTTCTTTCGTTAACATACAGTTTTCTCTGAATTTTTCTAATACTAAGTAAACCCTAGGATAAACTTACTAACTTTTATTTCATCTGGTTATATTTTTTTTATTATTCATCATTGTTTTGAAATACTTTGATGACGTAATCAGTACTCTGGACTAATTTTTATTCTTGTTTCACTAATCTAATGTACACGCATACATAAAAAATTAGTTATATATAATTGCTGCTGCACAGCCAAGTGAATGAATTCGCTAAAAAGAGACTCATCGGAACATTAGATTGAAAAGAACAAGAAGTTCAGCAAAGATATATCGACCTTTTCGGCGATTTCATTCTCAAAAGCAGTTGTACAATCGCATTCATATATATTTTAGTTTACATGAATACAATTATGATTTGTTTAATTCCACATAGTAACGGAGGTGATAATAATTTTCAACTTGATATGAAAGTTTGAAGGTACGAATATAGATTACAAGGGGCTTAGAGACAAGATTTTATAGGATTAGAAAACAGCTATAACGTATGCAAAATTAATATTTGATAACTGAAGAGATAATTTTAAAGGCAAATAAAAGGTGACAATTATTTTCAGCTTGATATGAATTACAAGAGGCTTAGAGACAAATATTAAGCAGGGATAGAACGAACTACAGGTGTGAATAAAATGAGCATGAAAACAAATTGAAATCAAAGTTTTCAACTTGACATGTTAGTGAGGAGGTGTGAATATAGGTTACAAGAGGCACAGAAACAAAAAATTACACAGGATTAGAATATAATTGTAAAGTGGTTATTCTAAACGCATTACATGTGTGATCAGAAGGAGCATGGATGCAAACTTAGAATAACTGGTTTTTGATATGTATCCATATATATATATATATATATATATATATATATATATATATATATATATATATATATATATATATATATATATATATATATGTATGTTGGTCTCTCTTTCTGTTTGCTCGCTTAGTCTGTGACCATTTCACTTTGATGAACCTGTCTCCTTTAACAATGTATATTCCCCTTATATTATATATAATATGAGTGTTTGTTGACAGTCCGTAGCTTGGTGACATATATCCATATTATATGTGTGGTTGTTGGCATGTCTGCTATATTTTGCTATGTATATATGGATCGATACTCCATTATAATTAGCCATTTATGTTAAGAGTGTCTATTGATTTGTTCACACACTTGTCTGGACATTCATATATATTTCGCTCACACAATCTTGTGTGCTACTTTGGTGTGATACCACTTTTGCATTCTCCATGTGTTTGGAAAATAGAAGTATCATCGCAAACCTAGTGGTCTTCTGATTTCCTCCTTCTTGCGTCAGGACTATTAAATTCTCGACCAGTACATAACAATAATTTGGCGACGAGTACATAACAGTTTTATAGCTGAAAAATTAGGATGAATTAAATGAAGACAAAGAGAGAAAATTACACACACAGGGAACAAAAGAAAAAAGACTGAAGGATAAGGGAACACACCGAACTTGGTCCATGGTAGTTGTAAAGGCTGGACTAGTTTCTTTTGAACACATAACTCCGGCTTTTCGATGGATATTGCGAGATCTTCCTCAGTACAAAGAAGTCGGAAGCACACTATCTTTGGCAGACATTTGCTTACTTTGTAAATGACTCTAAATGATGAGTCATTTGAGATTCTGTGACAGGTATTGACGAGGTGTTCAGTTATTGCCCTCCTGACTGAACCAGTGCCTCCTCTTTGCAGCCATTCTGGATGATTTTCTCTAACACGTTTTGATGTAACCTGCGGGTCTTTTGCATACGTTGTAACTGTTTTCTAATCCTATGCAATTTTATCTCTAAGCCCCTTGTAATCTGTATTCGTACCTCCAAACTTTCATATCAAGTTGAAAATTATTATCACCTCCGTTACTATGTGGAATTAAACAAATCATAATTATATCCATGTAAACTAAAATATATATGAATGCGATTGTACAGCTTTTGAGAATGAAATTGCCGAAAAGGTCGATATATCTTTGCTGAACTTCTTGTTCTTTTCAAAAAGGGACTCTTCGCTGGACTATTTATTCTTATTTCCAATATTTGATGAGTGACATAGACAACTGATAGTCTTTGAAGATGTCTACAAAACTACTCACTTAGCTGTTATACGGTAGAAAGATCATAGACTTTTTTTAATTATGAATTTTTCTGTTAAGATTTAACCTGTCAAATGGAGGAAAAATGAGTTTTAGCAAATTTTTATATGCAACAAGTAATTTGACGAAGTGCAGAACATATTCACTATCTTGTAAAAGCT